TCAACATCACTGGTCATTTGAGAGATGCAGATGAAAACAACACTGAGATTCCACCTCACCCCGGAAAGAATGGCTGCTATCAAGAAATCAACAAATAACATCTACTGTCATCCAGCTATATTCTATGTGTAGATTTTTCACATATATTTTCTGATATATATATGTAATAAAAATATATTTTACCCCCTGTGGGGTTAGGGAGTGAATCCTGACCCCAAGCCCTTTACCATTGAGAAAAAAAATTTAAATAATGACAGGATCAGTATCACTGTTTTCTTGCTTTGGCCTCAGGTTCCAATATGGCATCAGATGGCATGGCCATACACATTTACAAAATGGAAGGCTTGTACAGCTAGCTGCTCCTTCCTCAAAGAGCACTGGTGTTATGGAACAAAGGGGTCTTGTAGCTGAGCAGAGGGATTTCCTTATTCTGTGTGAGGAATCTCTTTCTACACTCATTTAGCAGGCCTCTTCCAAGGCAGCAAGGAGGAAAGTGGCTTGGAGAGGGAAACTACCTTACTTCCAGGGCAGTGACACAGGAAGTACTATAGTACAGGGCATACTAAAAATCTGGGGCTTTGCTAACACATTTGATTAGCTAGAAATTCCCCAACATATTATAACTAAAACAACAGGATAGGCCTAGAGCTGGTAGTTTATGGCAAAAATATCTCCACTTTTCTTAATAGTATTAATAACAGCTTCCATATACTAAGAAACATTGGGTGAAGCCACATAGAATTCCCAATGCTGAACCATTTTTGACCTACAAAACCAGGATATAATCCAATACATGCTAAATATAAATGCTAAATAGTGGACATAAGAGATGTCCACCTCCTAATCCCTAGCATCTGTGAATATAACCTTATACAGAAGAAAGATTTTATAGATGAAAATAAGTTAAAGATTTTGAGATGAAGACATTATCCTGGTTCCAGGCCTAATTATTGATAAATGTTGTTATATAGAAGAAGGGCAATGTTAAAACAGAAGCATAGAAAGATTTGAGGACACTGTACTACTAGCTTTGAAGATGAAGAGACCACAAGCCAAGGATTGTTGGCAGCATGTACAAGATGGAAGAGGCAAGAAGCAGATTCTTGGATGGGCCCTCCAGAAAAAATGCAGTCCTGCTGATACCTTGATTTTAGCCATGTGAATCTGATTTTAGACTTCTGACCTTCAGAACTATAAGAGAATAAATATTGTTTTAAGGCACAATACATCTATGTTGTTTTAAGGTGCAAAGTTTGTAGTAATTTGTGATAGCAATAATAGGAAACTAATAGACTAGATGTTATGTTAAGTACTTTAATCTTCAAAGAACTATATAAAAATCTAGCCTCAACTTCCTCAAGGACTTCTGTTTAGGTTATTTCTTCTCTTTTGCATCCTCAATTTCTCTTTAGTGGGTCTACTCCATTGATGTATACAGATGCTCTTATAATTATTACCTTTAAAAAAAACCCTAGTGATACTCACTTATAATTTTTTAAAAATTGGTAAACTAGAGGTAGAATGATATATCTTTGTCTTTGTGCAGAACTATATCCACAAAGCCTATAAAAGCATCACACATAAAAGTTAAACATTTTTAAAAATCCCTACTTTTATTCAATACTACATCAAAAGTACTAGCCAATGCAATAAAACAAGAAAAAGAAATAAAAATATAAGGACTGAAATCAGGCAAAAGAGACATTAATTAAAGGTTATATGATTTTTTTCATAGAAAAATCACAATTGGGGCTGGGGATTTAGCTCAGTGGTGCTGCACCTGCCTGGCAAGTACAAGATCCTGAGTTTGATTCTGGTACCAAACCGAACCAAACCAAACCAAACAGAAAAATTGCAATACTTTTATAAATAAATTATAAGAATAAATGAGTTTCATAAGGTTGAGGGATAAAAAAATCAGTCTTCAAAAACAGCTGATTTCTTACATACTGGCAACAGAGTTAGAAAGTATTTTTAAAGCAAAATTTTCAGTTGCAGTCCTATTAATTAGGTGTGTGACCAATTGGGGCAAGACAAACTTAGAAGAAGATCTAACAAAAGATGAACAAGTCTCTCCTGGAAAAAAATATGAAATGTATC